CGGCGGGGGGGCATCCCACGGTCCCTCTCCTTCGAGTTCGGAGCAACCGCTCCCGGATGGGGAAGGCCGGCCCTTCTGGCCCCCTGCTGCCCGCCCGTCCCCGAGACTAAGCACCGGCGGGCCGGGAACGCGAGCCCGGCTCCGGAGGCGCAGCGTTGCCAGACGCTCCCGCCCGCTGGAAAAGTCCCCTGCGCGCCCGGATCTTGCCTCGGCCGGGTGAGGCAGAAGCAAGCCCCGCTTGGCCAAGTTGGTCCCCTGCCCGCCCGCCTGCCCCCAAGTCACGGCAACGGCAACGGGGCATTCGTCTGATATTGACCCCTGTCTACATTTGAACGACGTTCAACAGCAGCAGCGCTTGCGTCCCGAGAAAGCCGGCCGTCTCCGGCCGCGTTCTCACGTGCAGCCTTACGCTACGCAGAACCGCCCCACCAGGGATTGTCAATGAATGCGGGATGCTAAAAGTCGGTCGCGATACGGAGGGTGACTCAAGGGAGAATGCTTCCGAGAGTGAAGGAGAAACCAGAAAACACGGCAAATAATAAAAAAAAGCATCCACTTAGAATACTTAAGGCTCGTAGCGGGAGTGAAAAAGGACAGAGAGTTACTGTGGACCGTTGAGGGTAAAACAAAAGGCAGACGAGGTGTAGGCTGAAGAACTGATGGGCTCCGGAGCCGGGGAGAACAAGGCTGAGCGCCCCGTCTCGCAGCCCGGCGTCGAGGAGCGGCGTCCACCGTCATCAGAGCCGTGACGACACCCGGCCTCGGGCAGGGCAGGAGGAAGAAGGCGGCGGCGAGAGAAAGAAAGTCACGCCGAAACCGCTAGCTAGCCTCTTCCGCGCCCTTGGCTCTGCCGAGGAGGCCAGCTCGGATCGGGAAGGAAAGCCCTTCCGATTGCAGCGGGGGATCGCTTCCAAAGGAACTTGCGTAAACTTGGGGGGGGGGAGAGAAATGGGACGACGGTGAAGTGGGTGAAAGCGCCTCCTGGGCATCTAGACGCCCCCCCTCCCCCGGCCATCAATTGAGCGCTCTCTTCTGCTGCCTTTCTTTTCCTTTTCCTTTCCTTTCGTTTCCTTTTTTCGCCCCGCACCCGCGTTCCCGGGCCCTTGCCTCTCCCCCTCTTCCCCCGCCCCTTTCCTCCCAGCCTCGCCTTGCCCCGCGGCCCCGTGACGCGCGGAGCCCCCCTCTTGCCAGCTCTCTTCCGATTTGTCTCCGGCCTCCATTGTTACGTCACAATCAGCCCACAATTTAGCCGGCGAGCGCGCCCTCCTCCTCCTCCTTCGCCCTCCTCCTCCTCCTCCTTCCTTTCCTCCTCGCCTTGCCCCGCGGCCCCGTGACGCGCGGAGCCCCCCTCTTGCCAGCTCTCTTCCGATTTGTCTCCGGCCTCCATTGTTACGTCACAATCAGCCCACAATTTAGCCGGGCCGG